CAAAAAAACAAGGAAAAAACAACAACCCCACCCCCACTCCCCCCAAAGAAGAAAGAAAGACCAAAGGTAAGAACATGAAAAGGATAGGACATCAACAATTCAACATATAAGTTGTCACAATTCAAGCCGAGAAAGTGGACACGGCGAGGTGAGGGTGCCCGATGTTTGCATGTTTTGGGAGAATCTTACTCGGGCCGGATTTACGCGGCACGCACGACCTGAAGAATAATAATAAGACAGACGAAAAGACGTCACTTTTATGCCTTCTTTTTTTTAAAACCCACCATAACATTGAGAACTTTATAACTGGATAAAAACTGACCAAGCTACTCAACTAACTACATGATTGTACATACTATACTGGTCCGAAAACAGCGTAAAACAACTACGGACGACTTAAATTTGTAGACAACAATAAATTAATGTAATTGTCAATGTAAAAAAAAAAGAAAAAAAGAAATTTTAATATTTAAAAGTTGTATGACGTAGGGAAAAGCCTGAAAAGAAAATTACACACGCGAATTTCTTGGCGCAAATGATTCAATATGGTGAGTATGTTTGAGAAATGTTCTTTCTTTTAATGTATGTCTCGGTCGAGTGAGGACTGTGGTTCCATTTTAAGTGCTACTTGCGGAAAAATGTTCTTTAGTTCTATCATTTGATTCTTGGGATATGTGAAGTTGTTAGGGTTTCTAGATCTATTCATTTCTATGTCATCAGTGCTGTGAATATAATCGTCAAGACAGCCCCTCAAAAGTACAAAGCACAAAATTTTGATCTTTATTTATTGCATATTCTTAATCTGTGAATTTTGTACTTTTATGTGTTGTATATTCTTAATCTGTGGTATCAGTAACATGAGGTAGCTCGAGAAATATTTTGTTAAATCTAAAAACATCTAAATGTTGAAAAATAAGAAAGAAAAGATTAACGAAGTTTGTATACTTGTTAAAAGAATGAAACAATTTTCTCTCTCTCCTCATGCATTTTGCTTTCTGGACTAAGGACATTCAACTTGTTATTATTTTCCTAGTCGTTAGGCTACCGGACTCGTAATCGTGAGATTGAGGGTTCGAAGGTTCGAGCCTCAGCTCAGTCCGACGTTGTGTCCTTGGGGGAAGTCACTTTACACGATTTTCCCGAGAGGAGTTCCGCAAGAGGTTCAAATGAGCAAACTATACAAGGGTTAGGGTTAGAGTTAGGGTAAAGTTTGTGATTAGGGTTTAGGGGCAAGGGTTAGGGGTTGGGGTCAAGGTTTAGGATTTAAGGTTTAGGGTTTAGTGTATAGGGTTTAGAGTTAGGGTTAGGGTATACCCCGCTCAAAATATCCCTTCTTTTGTGTGCTGTTGATTGGCCAGCCCTCTGTGGAACTCCCTCCAATTTCCCATTTGGCTCAGGGTTTGTTTTTGTTGTTGTTGTTTTTTGGAAAGTGTTTTACGGCGCTCGCAACTGCATAAGAATATATGAGCGCACGGGACACATTTAACTTTTTCAGTTGTTAGGAAATTTTGAATTTTGCCCGGGTGGCGGCCGAAGCCTACTCTTATCG